CTGATAAGGGATTCATATCTAAAATTTATAAAAAGCTTACAAAACTCAACAGCAAAAAATCAAACAACCCAATTAAAAAATGGGCAAAGAGCATGAATAGATACTTCTCCAAAGAGGACATACAGATGGCCCATAGACGTATGGAAAGATGCTCCATGTCACTAATCATCAGAGATATGCAAATTATAACCACAGTGTAATACCATCTCACACCTGTCAGAATGGCTATCATCAGTAAATCAACAAACAACAAGTGCTAGTGAGGCTGTGGAGAAAGGGGAATGCTTTTGCATTGTTGGTGGGAATGCAGACTGGTGTAGTCACTATGGAAAGCAGTATGGAGATACCACAAAAAATTAAAAATGGACCTGCCTTTTGAGCCAGAAATCCCAGTTCTGGGAATATATCTGAAGGAACCCAAAACACTAATTCCAAAGAACATGAGTACCCCTATGTTCACTGCAGCATTATTTATAATCACCAAGGTATGGAAACATCCAAAGTGTCCATCAGTGGATGAGTGGATAAAACAACTATGGGGCATTTACACAATGGAATACTATGCAGCCATAAAAGAGAAGAAAGTTTTACCCTTTGCAACAGTATGGATGGACCTGGAGAACATTATGCTAAGTGAAATAAGCCAGTCAGAGAGAGACAAATGCCATACAATTTCACTCATATGTGGAATCTAATGAACAAACTGAACTAACAAACAAAATGGGGACAGACTCATAGATGGAGAGCAGATGACAGCTAGTGAGCAGGGATGTTGGCGTGGAGGGATCGAGCAAAAAGGAAAAAGAACTCATGGACATGGATAACAGTGTGGTGATTTAATGGGGGAGGGGATATAAGGGGACTAAATGGTAATGGAAAAAATACAATAAAAATACACTAAAAATAATTAAAAATAACGTTTATGACATTGTTTTTTTTTTTTTTTTTTTTTTAATTTTTATTTTTTTTTTTAATTAATTTATTTACTTTTTAAATACATTTGTCTCTGCCTTCCCCCCCCCCCCTTTCCCTTGCCCCCTCCCACCTTCCCTCCCTCAGCTCTTCCCCTTTGGTTTTGTCCATGAGTCCTTGCTATATGTTCCTTGACTTTCCCCTTCCCTTCCCTTTCCCTGCCCCCCCCTTCCCTCTTGTCTCTGTTGATTTCTTTTCCTTTCAGTGTTGCTGGCCATATTTGCCTTGCTTCTTTGCATTGTTGGTTAGGTTCCACTTATAGGTGAGATCATATGGTATTTGTCTTTCGCCCCCTGGCTTATTTCGCTTAGCATGATGCTCTCCAGTTCCATCCATGCTGTTGCGAAGTTTAGTACTTCTTTTTTCTTTCTGCTACGTAGTATTCCATTGTGTATATGTACCATAATTTTTTGATCCAATCATCTACTGATGGGCATTTAGGTTGCTTCCAACACTTGGCTATTGTAAATTGTGCTGCTATGAACATTGGGGTGCATAGGTTCTTTTGTATTGGCGTTTTGGTGTTCTCAGGGTATAGTCCCAGCAGTGGAATCGCTGGATCAAAAGGCAGTTCCATTTTCAGCTTTCTGAGGAAATTCCACACTGCTTTCCATAGTGGCTGCACCAGTCTGCATTCCCACCAACAGTGGACTAGAGTTCCCTTTTCTCCACAGCCTCGCCAGCACCTGTTGTTTGTGGATCTGTTTATGATGGCCATTCTGACCGGTGTGAGGTGGTACCTCATGGTGGTTTTGATCTGCATTTCTCTAATGGCTAGTGATGCAGAGCATCCTTTCAAATGCCTCTGGGCCCTCTGTATCTCCTCCTTAGAAAAGCAAATGGTGTTGGGAGAGCTGGATGGCTACATGCAAAAAATTGAAATTGGATCATCAGCTGACACCATACACAAAAATAAACTCAAGATGGATAAAAGACTTAAATATAAGTCGCAACACCATCAAAGTCCTAGAGGAGAACATTGGCAGGAAACTCTCAGATATCCCACGCAGCAATTTTTTCACTGATATGTCTCCTAAAGCAAGGGACATAAAGGAAAGAATAAACAAGTGGGACCTCATCAAAATAAGAAGCTTCTGCACGGCTAAAGAAAACATCAGCAAAATGAAAAGGGAGCCAACCATTTGGGAAAATATATTTGCTAATGATACATCAGATAGAGGTTTGATCTCCAAGATATACAAAGAACTCACTCGACTTGACTCCAAGAAGACAAACGATCCAATCAAAAAATGGGCAAAGGACCTGGGCATATGACATTGTTTAATACCCCTTGACTAAGGTCATTTGAAAATTGTCTTATCTTCTCATACCATGAAATGTAAAATGGAGCCCCCAAAATTTTAAGCTACTCCTGAAATTGTTGCATTTCTTTTAGAACACAAATCAAACAGCATATAAAACCCCAGCCAAAGACCATGGGAACTTAGACCATCATGTGCAAGATATTTTTATTTACAGACCAGATACTTTTTCATTCACAAAAGTGAGAGGGACATTTGGCAGTAAAGATATGCCTTATAAAAAAGTCAATTACATCAATATACAAACTTTTCCAAATCATGATGTTTCTCACTAGGTGGTAAAAAAGACTGATGAGTGAAACGGGGAAATAAACTAAGGTCCGATACCATTAGTATACTGCTGTCTCTGAGAGGCAAAAGCACTTGAGCAAGTGTGTCACTTAAAATAAAAATCATCAATGCTAATTATATGCCTTATGGTCATTATGGATAGTTCTATTTTAATTTTTTTACCTTTAAGATGAGACATCTTATAATAATTGTTATTAACTCTTTGCTGATTCACTATCCTCCTGGTCTGAAAATTAAAAATAGACATGGAAAATCAAATAATCTTATCTCATACCCTAACAAACAATAATAGTGTTTCTGTCTACCACGAAAATCATTCTGATGCATAAGGGTCAAGTGTCATTACATTAAAGTAGGAAAATAGACTAAGATCACATAATTTTTAGAGCAGTGTGTGCATTCAAATATTGATCGCTTTAGTGCAAACTTAGTAACCTAATATGGTGGGAAGATAATGAAAGTTGAACACCAAGAGTAACATGAATTTGCCTTACCAGAACTCAGCTCAGTCAGGGTTTCTCTACCCCAGCACTACTGACGTTTTGGGCCAGATGCTTTGTTGTTGGGGGCTATCTTGTGCATTGCAGGATTTTTAACATGACTCATGGTCTTTACCACTGAAATGCTAGTAGCACGCCCACAGGTGTGATTAGCAAGAATGTCTCCAGATGTTGTCAAATATCTCCTGGGGGGCAAAATCTTCCCCAGTTGAGAACCACTGACTTAGCTGACCCATCCTGAACCACCATCTTAATCCTTCACTATGTTGTCCTCTGCTTATTATTTCTTCTGAGTATTTAAAATTATATGTTTCTATAACAATGTTTTTACGTGGTCTCAGGCTGAATCACATGACTGTCTTCTCTCTCTTTACATAAATTACATTGATATTAGGTACTTAGAAGACACATTTTCTAACCCCTTCATGATATATATTGTAGTACAGTGTCAAATGGGATTATTAAAAATGTTGATTGACACTGATAACAGCTAGTCTTGGGAAATGTAGTGATATTTCTCTCTGCTTAGTTCAGGGTATTTTACTACTTTGTTTGTTTAATAAATAAGACACTTCCTGAAAATGCAGCTCAGGCTGCAGTTCTATAAAGAACTTTTAGTTTATGTGGTCTTAAAATAGAAATGCACCTTAAATTAACTTCAAAAATCTTTACTGTGAGAAAACCTGTGTCCTACTTGCATAAAAAACATGAATAAGTGGTGTTTGAGACAGCCACTAATCAATTTTCAGCCATTTTCTTCTTATAAAAATAAAATAAAATAAAATAAAATAAATCTTTCTCTATTGATATATCCTGACCTTATCATGGATTCTTTAGCCATTTTAAAAGCTTTCAGTGCAAAGGGCTTGACTCACCGTCTGCAGAGGAGAAAGCTGACAAGTTAATCAAGCAGACTGATGATGTGGTTGCTACAATAATAAAGGTCAAAATCATGTATTATTTCTTGAAATGTATCTACTGATTTGATGATAATGTCAAGTTCAAATCTTAAAAGGCCATTTAATAGAGTGCAAAAAGAATTTTTCTTGGGGCACAGAAATTTTGACCTCATAAAGTGAAGTCTATGACCTATTTCAACTCTCGATCAGAAGTCATTTTGTTCATTTGTTAATTCCTCCATCCATCCATCCATCCATCCATCCATCCATCCATCCATCCATCCAACATTTAGTACACACTCCCCAGCACTAAGCTAGTTACTGGGGAAATTGCATAAAAAAAGAAATCAAGGTTACTGCCCTTGAGCCGCATAGTGTCTACATCAGTATTTCCCAATACCTGTTCAGAAGAGCTGTGCTCCTGTAAGATACTGGTTATTCACTCCATATTATTATTTTCATTTTCCTTCTGAGTTTTCTGGAATAATTAAAAATATCTCAGTTTTCTAATTACATACAAGTTTTAATTTTTTTTTACATGAGGAGATCTTAATAGAAAGTAGTTTAATATTAATCTTGAAAAATGTGAGGGTCCAAAATATCTGGTATAAAACTATACAGTTAGAATGCAAATCTGATGGTCCTTCAGCAGTTTAATTGGATGTCATTCCCCTCATGTAGGGCACATAATTCACTTACTATAAATTAACAAGGAAACCTGACCTTATGGAGACAATCTGGGAAACTGATCTGTGGATGTCTATAGGGAAGTGGATTTTCCAAGAAATTTAGCTTCAGCAGGCAGACCAGGTTCAAAGGAAAACACCTCCAAGCCAGAGTTGGAGGCCAAGGCAAGAGGAGTTGGTGGCACCTGTGTTCACAGGTGGCAGTACCGAGGTTCGAGTCAGAGTCACTGCGGAGGTCAGGGCCTGTCTCTGATCATGGATGGACGAGGCGGTCCCTCATGGGTGACTTTTTCTCAAGTATATTTTTCTAGTCTGTTTAGAATCTGGAAAATGAGGATTTTAATGTTGGGATTAAATGGAACAGGAAAAAGTACAATTTTGTACAGGTTACAGGTTGCAGAAATCATTCCTGCTCTTCCTACTATTGGATTCAATGTTGAGATGGTACCGTATAAGAAACTTACATTCCAAGTCTGGGAATTTATCAGGCCATACTGGGGATGTCATTATTCAAACGCAGATGCAGTCATTTATGTAGTAGACAGTTGTGACCAGAACCAAAATGGCATTTCCAAATCACAGTTATTTGCCATGTTAGAGGAAGAAGAACTGAGAAAAGCCATTTTGGTGGTATTTGCAAATAAGCAGGACATGGAACAGGCCAAGACTCCCATAGAGATGGCACATTCACTTAGGTTGCCTGCCTTGAAGGACCGTAAATGGCAAATATCAAAACTTTAGCAACCAAAGGCACTGGCCTTGATGAGACAATGGAATGGTTAGTTGAAACATTAGAGAGCAGGCAGCAATTCAATCATTTCTCCTCCTCTGAAATAAAGGCCACATCACATAGCCCTATGGAAACAGATAAGTGTGCTTCACACTACTAAATCTTAGAACTGTGTATGATTGTTGGCATGTACTGGACTGACTACCACATTTGTAATAAGTATAAAAAATGTCTTCGGTTGGGTGGGTAACTCATTGTGAATGTCTGGTCTGTATAATGTAAAGTAGTCCTCCCTTGCTTTCTTGTGTTAAGGTATACAAGGTCTGTTCCAAAAATATCCAGCCATGTACTATGAAGAGAGAGACATTTATTAAAGATGTAAGATACAAGAAACATTGTATATAGGACAACGACACCTCAGTTCTCTTCAAAATAGGTGCTTTGGGACCTCACACAGTTCTCCCAGTTGCCATCAGCTGTGCCATCTTATCTTCCTGAATCTCACTGATTGGTCTGAAATCTCTTCCCTTTCAAAGGTGGTTTTAGTTTTGGGAAAAGCCAGAAGTTCCAGAGTGCCAAATCTGGACTGTAGTGGGGCTAAGTCACCTGGGTGATTTGATGTTTCACCAAAAATCTCTGCATGAGACATGATGTATGAGCTGGTGTGTTGTTGTGATGAAGCTGCCAATCACCAGTAGCCCATAGCTGCAGTCTTATGAATTATCCAGAGTTTCTGCAGAGGAACATTCAAGCTTAACACAAAATTTGATTCAGATTTGCTGTTCTCCTGGTTCAGTCATTTTGAATGCGATGGCCACATAGTACATATGCTCACTCAATGGCTTCTACTACCCCCACTAACTAGTACAGTGAAGTCATCATTGTTCTTACATGCACGTTCCAGTCCACTCTCCTTGGCTGTGCAAACCATTCTTGTTATATTAACAACAGGTGGGCTTTTTCCAGACAGACCTCATATATTCTCTTTGTGTGGAATTATTTTTCAAATACAGTCCTATTAAAGAATGTGGTCTTCTACTACCCTTTGCTACAGCATGGATGGAATTGGAGAACATTATGCTAAGTGAAATAAGCCAGGGGGTGAAAGACAAATATCATATGATCTCACCCATAAGTGGAACCTAATCAACAAAAAAACAAGCAAGGAAAATAAAATCAGCACCATTGAAAGGAAAAAGAAACCAACAGTAATGAGAGGGAAGGAGGGAGGCGGGTAATGAGGAAAAGAAGGGGAAGGGTCAAATCAAGGAACATGTATAAAGACCTATGGACAAAACCAAAGTGGGGAAGGATTGAGGGTGGGTGGGGCAGGGTAAAGTGATGGTGGGAAAATGGAGACAAATGTATTTGGACAATAAAAAAAATAAAAAAAAGAATGTGCTCTTATTGAGGAAAAAAATCCCCTATTTTGAATTAGTGGATGCAGATTGTTTGCATAAATACTAATAAATATCTTAGCTCAGATTTTTCCCTCTAAAATGAATTAAATTTTTCCAAAAATTAGGCCCAATAGAGTAGTATAGGAACTCAGTATGGATAATACAGATTTCATTTGCTTAATGACCACTTTATTTAAGCTATTTCATTTAAAAGCTTTTGGTTATAGGCATGAAGTTGAAATAATTATTTTGGTGCTTAACTTCACTGAGTCATCTGTAATTGTCGTTTTATAGTACTTTCTAGTTGTTGGAAAGATTTTATGCATATTGACCTAAACAGTTTGTACCAGAACCTTGTGATGTAGGTAGGACAGGTTGTAATAATGTTTATGGACATGTGGAATCTTGGGTTGATAGGTTGGCTTGCCCAACTGCTACTAAGCTGGAAGCAGGGCTCAAAATGAGACGTCATGGTCAGAAACTTGTCCCATGAACTGCACCATAAGTCCCTGAAAATGTCAACTGTGCAACACAGATGAATTAATTCCTTAGGAGACTCTGTACATTCAAAATAATGTCTGTACATTTAGTTGTCCATACTAGTACAGGTAGTAAAAACAATCCTAAATGGTTATATTTGAGGAATTCACAACACATTAAAGAAAAAATTCACATGGAAGGAAATTAAAAAAGATGTATTTTAAAAAGCATTGTAAAGAAAAGAAATTTAGCTTCTTTCTGAAAAGGAGGGCAAAACTTGTTCTTTGTAATTCATTTTAGTCATATTTCAAAGGTTTAGTTATACTTCAAAAAGTGGGAAGATAGGCCACATTTTAATCAATGGCAGTCATAATAAATACATCATTTTATAAATAAATTATATAGGCATTAAGGAAGTATTGGAAAAGATACTATTTCTTTGTGTAAAGACATTATTTTAGTGTTTACCAACTAGCATAGAGTTGGAGATAAAGTCATAATTTTGTGACTTCATATTAGGTCAACAGTTTACTCCCATTTGTATATGTTTGTTGATTTATACAAAAGAGGTTAGCAGATTATTTCAGTGTAATTTTAAGGATAAATTCATGCTTCACACAGGTACATACACAAAACCCAAAATTGTAAGTATTGTGGACAGCTAGATTTCAAAAGTTCGGAAATTCTGTTTTGACCAGCAGTTAGATGAGCCTGATAATGATTAAGAGTTTATCTAAATGGCTTTTTATCTGATACTGTTGTAATCTCAGAATATTATTTATATAAAGTGAGTAAATAAGAAGTGTTCAGTTTTATGGGATTCTACTAATGTTGGGGAACGCTAGTGTTTGCAAGTACATTAATTGACAGTAGTAAGAGTTAACATAACATTAGGCCTTTCAGAAAAAATACTAAAGAAATTATGATATTCCTGTTATGCTAGTGCTTATGGTGATAAAAATAAATTTATGTGGCCTACAGTAATACCATAAACTGCACTTAGTTGAAAAGCATCATATGTTTTAATTGTGTTCCTAGCTTTCCTAATTTGTAAGACTGTTCTGACTTAGTAGCTCATGGCTCTAAACACTAAACAATTAATTCTCATGTATCTATAAAACCTGAGAATAATATGGTAAACAACATGAAATCATGAAGAATCACTCATATTAGAACACTATATTTTTTACTCTTACTGACAAATGACCTTATTAAGTAGAATCTAATTAAAACAGGTGTTATAGTCTAACCACTCTTCCCCAAATATAAACCCACTATGTTATTCATGTGAAAACTTTGTAGGTATGCTATTTTTTTCCTAATACTTCAAATTTATCTTGTAAATTATAGTTGTAGCAATGTTTTTGCACCAAAATCAATACATAAGGTAAGGGAAGATAAGACAACTCTGGGACTGTCCTTGAAAATCCAGAATCTATGTTTATTATAATTACAGTGAGCTACAGTTGCACAAGTTGATTGGGGGTTTACTATACGCCAAGCTTTGTGTTTTTATGCATTAACTTTCTTAATGCTCAAAGGAAATCTGTGAGGCAGATACTCTTATTATCTCCTTTTTTAAAAAAAATTTATTGATTTACTTTTAGGTCGCCAGTTTGATTCCCAGTCAGGGCACATGCCTGGGTTGTGGGTGAGGCCCCAGTTGGGGGCATGTGAGAGGGGAAGGGACAGAGAAGGGGAGGGAGAGAAACATCAGTGTGTGAGAGATACATTGATCGGTTGCCTCTCCCATGCCCCAAAGTGGGGCCTCGCCTGCAACCCAGGCATGTGCCCTGACTGGGAATTGAACTGGTGACCTTTTGGTACTCATGCCGGTGCTCAATCCACTGAGCCACAGCAGCCAGGGCTGTTTTTATCTCCTTTTTACTTGAAGTTGTTAAATACCCTGCCCCAGGTTTCAAAGATAGTCAGTAGTATAGTTGCATTTAAACCAAAGTTGTTCTCACTTCAGACTTTATGCTCTTGGCTGCTAGGTAATAATGTCACTTTGAGAGTCTTTTCGCTAAGGTAGATTGAAATCGTGATTTAGAATCATAAAATTGTTTAGACTATAGGTCCAGAAGGATACTTCATTAGGTGGTGGGTCCTTATTAATGGTACTCATGAACATTCTGAGTTGAGGCCGTATGATCTTGTGGAAGGGAATCAAAAGAGTAACCTGTGGTGGACATACAAATGTTCACCAAGATATCTGATTTTCTTTTTTGCTCAAATGCCTCCTTGATGTTAGATAAAGTCATATGACTTGCTTTATCCAATAAAGTGAGAGAAGTGGCTTGTGCCATATCTGTGTAGAAGTATTTAAAGGCGGGGGTGAGATTGTTCATCTTTTCTTTCCTTGCCATAGTAATTGTGGAAGATTGTGTTTATCATACTGGGGTGGGAAAGAAAGACCAAAGAAGCCTGGAATATTGAATGACAAAGTAGAGGTCAGATGTCTTGGGGACTCTCCCAGACTCAGAGTGAACTTAGTGTGAATGAGAAATGGACTTTTGATGTGTTAAGCTCCTGGGGTATTGGTATACAGCCTAAGCGCATCTATTCTGATTGAAACATGTGCCGACCAAGTGTTCTATACATACTTCTATGTTTCATGAGCAGTGAGAGCACACCATTAACTTCTATGAGTCTTAGTGTTTTTTTGTTTTGTTTTAAAATTATGATTTTCAATCTATGCCTTCCTCCAGAGATTCTGGGGATAGATCACCTGATCGCATGAGAGAAAATACATGAAAACTGATGAACAAAATAGAAACAGGGGCATGGATACATAGAACAGACTGACAGTGGTAAGAGGGGAGGGGGGGACTGGATGAAAGAGGTGAAGGGGTCAGCCAAAGAACAGATATGCGTGACCCATAGACACAGTCAGCAGTGTGATGGTGGCCAGAGGGGGTTGTAAGGGTGAGGGGGAGGTGAGGCGGGGGGAGGGATGGAACGCTTATAATAGTGTCAGCAATAAAAATAAAGAAAAAACCCTCTGTAAACTACGAAGCAATACAATATTTATTAGAATTAAAGTAAGAATCATGTTTTTTTCCACCTTTATTATTTAGGGAACAGTGTTTAGTAATGTGGCTGATTTTTTGAAAGGTAGGTTTAGAAGACAA